TACAACACTTGCAGGCCTAGAACTGGCACTTGTACCGTTACCATTGCTCAGATGGACACTCTGGGTGCGGCCGTAGAGGTAACTAGCAAACCAACCTACTGTGGCAGATGAGAAACCATAGTAAGTCAATTTGGACAGTAAAAGCGGGATACTTATTGAGTCAAATGCTCGAGAATAGTCAAGAAGAACCATAATGGTACCTTCACCTCTATCTTGGGCGCAAAGAACATTATCCACAATATCCAGCAGAGTTGTCGCCGTGCTCCGAGATTTACGAAAACCGGACTGGTGCACTGGTAATATTTTATTGCGCTCAATGTACTCCGTGAGCTGTGCACAAACAACTCTCTCTAGTATCTTCGAGAGGCACGGAAGGACACTGATCGGACGCAGGTCCCTCACATCGGTAATATTTGTCTTCTTGGGCATAGGTCTAACTATAGCCATCTTCCAAGCTAATGGATAAACGCCAGTAATAATAGAATTATTAATTATCTTGGTAATTGCTGTCAATGATGAGGGTAGGGTGAGCAAAAGCATGTCAAGGGATATATCATCATTCCCCACCGCATTGGACCTTAGGAGTTAATAATTTTGGTAATGAAACTCTCTTCAACAGTTCGCAGCTCAAAAGTAGCCCCGCCAAATCGATGAGTGTTATAGTGTTGTAACAGAGAAGCCGGTACATCTACATTACCAGGCACATTAAGAAAATGAGAGTTTATAATTTCAGGATCACGCAGGTTCAGTGGGAGCTCGCATTCCTCGTCTTTCCCTGTTACTTTGATTGTCCGTTTCAAGTTAGTCCAAAGTGCTCGAGAGCTGGTCGAATAACGATTAATATTGTGTTTAAAATATGCTTTTCTTTCATTATATATAACTACATTTACGCTGTACTTGAGCTCCTTATAATATTTTTTATGCGACTCTAGTCGTGTCATCCTGCACCTATCGTGAGCTTCATTGCGTAGTTTCATCATCTCTCATACAGTGTATGTTACCCATGGATAATTATGTACCCTTCTGTGCACACGTTTGTATGGTGCAAAATAATCAAACAGCCACAATACCGCCACCCGAAAAGACTCAACCATCTGATTAACATCTGACGCTGCTACCATAGACTGCCAATCAATTGATGCAAGAGCCAGGTCAAAGGAATTCCGGTCAATGGATTTCAATGGCCTAAAAGTGTTCCACATAGGAGCAGGTTTCGGTTTCCGAACACTAAGTTCACCTGTAACTAACGCATGACTGCTAAGTGTAGGTATATATAATACAACTTTGTATATTATATAACTTTGACATTTTGCACCATTGCACTGCTACATATACGGTCTATTAAAGTGCCACTGTGTGATGTGAAATTGGTAGCCGTTTTCACAAATTGCTGAAGGGATAAGGCATGCAAGAAATTTGTAATTTTGGACGAATTAAGGTTTTTTAATAACATATCGACATTAAAGTCACCAAGCAATAATATATAATCATAGTTTCCAAAACTAGCGATTGAATAAGTAAGCGCATCAATAAAAATATCGAGATCAAGGCATGGCGGTCGATACGCCGTACCCACAATAAAACGTACACCAACGAATGACAGACTCAACCACATCTGCTCTACAGGCGACGCTACTGGGTGCGCGCAGGCACGGGCACGAAGTCCGTTTCTTAAGGTGGCGGTTCGTGCCGCGACTGAGACGGGAAACCGAGACAGGAGACAGAGACCAGAGACCGCGACCGTTACTTGACGTTAGGCAATGTATACGCGACAGTTTGCGAGCGAGACAGAGACAAGCGACCGAGACGCGAGACAGGAGACAGCGAGACGGTCGCTGCTCCGGACCAGTAGTGTCTCGTGTCGCGCTCGTGAAAGCACACGTGTTTAGTGTTTAAAAATGAGTTTTTCTGACGAAGACTGTGAGACTCTGATTGAACTAATCAGGCAGCACCCTCCGCTATACAATGCACAACTAGACTCCTACAGAGACGAAAATTTGAAGGACAATATTTGGAAAAGCATAGCTGAAAGCATAAATAAAACAGGTGAGTTATTCTTATTTTATTTATTTTGCATAAAATTAATATTTGGAAGGAAACATATAAGAAAGAAAAGGTGGAGTGGAATCAGCTCAAACAAGCCGTGTGACATGTTGTTCTTGCCAGTCTACTACTCCTTGCTGTGACTTGAAGTAATTGGTTAATTTTACTCTAATATCGAGTCCGTTGCTGTTCGAAAACCCTCCTGTTCCACGTAATGAAACAAAATTTGAAGGCAAATTTTCGTCCTCTCGGTTCCATTGATGTACGGGCATTTGAGCAGATTCCAAAAATCCATCTCTTAATAGGTTACGCAAGCAACAGGCAACCAAGATCATGTTAGTGCATGTTTCTGGCGCTATTCCGATAGGAGTGTAAAATATTCTAAACACCTGAGACAGCAAACCGAACGCGTTTTCCGATACTCGTCTCGCACGACAAAGGCGGTAGTTAAATATTTCTTTGCTTAAATCGTTTTTTGCAACTCTTCTAGCGTAAGGTTTCATCATAAAAGTATCAAGACTAAATGCTTCATCTCCAACTAAAAAATGGGGTAATATTATGTTCGAATTTGGTAGATTTTTTGGTTCTAGAAAATTAAATTCATTTTTCATGATTTGTTTTCCCATTGTAGACTTTTGGAATATTCCACTATCTCCTTCTTTGCCATAAGAGCCAACGTCTCCTGCAATGAACTTGTAATTATGGTCTACAATAGCCAGAAGAACAATTGAGTAATACTCCTTATGATTACATTACAACGACCCACTATTTTCAGGGGCTCTTATTCTTACGTGCTTCCCATCAATAGCACCTGTGCAATTGGGGAATTGCCATTTGTCCCAAAATCCTTCAGATATGAGCCTAAAATCACTTTCTTTTGGAATAGGCATAAAACTTGGCACCAAAACAGTCTTCAAATGTTTTAACACCTCTTTGACTATTTGTGAAATATAAGAAGGTGATATACGAAATTCGAATGATAGCGAAAAGCATATGTTTCTCCAGTCGCCATGAATCTGAAAATAAAAAAAATAATATTATTATTTATTACAGATTCGGAATGCCGTAAAAAATGGAAACTGATGAGGGACTCCTACAACAGATATAAGCGCAAACAAAAATAATTGACGGGATCTGCAGCACCAGCTAAAAATTCAAAGTGGCAGTTTTATGAACGCTTAAGATTTTTAGAAAACACACCATCAGAACGGCAAAGCTGCACCAGTGTAGAACAAGAACAGCAAAGCTCCGCCAGTGTAGAAAAAGAAGTTACTAATACTTCCCCAGGAGTAGAACATGAAGATACTCCTCACGAAGCCGCAGACTCGTCAGTACATAACACTCCTTCAAAGGAGTTACCAGGCACTTCTAAATCTACACAAGAGAGATCTAATATACCACTAAGTAACAGTAAGAATACATAGAGAAAGAGACAAAAAGAAGATGAATTTATAAAATTTATGAAGGACAGACAGGAAAACCGATGTAGACAGCTGGAGTCATTAAAATCTCAAGAATCAGTTGATGATATATCGACATTTACAAAACATATTGAAATGATGTTAAAAAAATTGAGCGCACTGGACTGGATTGATTGATTTAACATCTCGCCAATCACCAAATATTTCGAGTGAACCATTTCTAAGCAATTATGGTGAAATCGACCAGAATAATTTCGATGAATTGGCAAACTTACCTTAAAGTTAGTGCTAATTTTTCTTTCACTGATATTCTTCCCTTTTCTTGCATTATTTTTTTCAGTAAATTTAATACGTAATCAAACTGTGTTTTATTCAGCCGAAAATACTTCCTGAATATATTGTCATCAAACATCAGGTGCTTCTTTACTAATAGCGAAAATGATCCTTCTTGACCTCTAGTTAAATATAAATCCTTAACAGGTAATCGTCTTTCAGTTTTGTATTTGTAATAATAATATAAGAGCAAATCATCGTCTTCTTCTTCCTCCAATATTTCAGTTTTGTACTTGTAATAATAATATAAGAGCAAATCATCGTCTTCTTCTTCCTCCAATAGCAGCTTCATTACTTGGTTTTCCATCACGACACAAAACACCACTGACTTCATCGACAGACTCTCTTGAACTTAGCGGTCGCTCCGCGACATTGTCTCGATCTTCGGAGTCTCGACCTACAGTACATGCCGAAGAGACCGAGACACTTGTCGCGATCTCTGGTCTCTGTCTCCTGTCTCGGTCTCCCGTCTCAGTCGCGGCGCGAACCGCCACCTTTAGATAGAAGCCAACACCACCACCACCGCGCGCGCGCACGCCCGCCGGCCTCGGCACATGACGTAGTCTATAGTTAGGTACAACCGGCGCACGGCCTTCCTCCCCCCACCCGCAGCCACGTCTCATTAATTGCCATAATGTCAACATTGCACTCAAGCATCGCCGCTACGAATTCATCATGCTTCGTACCTAATGAGCACACATTCAATAAACCAATTTTCACATTGTTAACCTTTGAAGGACCGATAATAGATAGAAAAATTCAATAAGTAAAAGTAAACTGTAGTAAGTGCTCCAGCGTTGGTTTTGTGGCTCGTATTGCGGCATAATATTATGCGTACATTGACCAAATAGTTGTTTGTTAGTAATATATTATGTATGTAGTATATAAAATTATGGGTTACGTTTAAATATGAAATATAATAAAAATTGTTACAAAAATTATAATATATCGGTAGCAAAGAAATAATAATAAATAAATTATGCAATATATTGATTTTAAGCTCGTTCCAAAGTTACTTTAAAGCACGGATTATAAGTAGTTGCGGCATCTTATAGCTACAACACAGACCAGCAAACGTAATACAATACATGATATCAAAAATAAGAAACAATGACACAGCTATAGTAAGCATAACATTATACTCATTCAAAAGCATTGTTCCAAGTAATATTAGATACAAAACGAAAACCGTCCAATTATATGTTATATAAAAACCTTTCTTATGTCAGACTCTGTTTTGATGCGGTATGCGTTGCTATCAGGACGGCGTCGCGCATATATGCGCCCTTCGCGTGTCCAAACGAACTTCCACCCCAGACGACTGCCCTCTTGCCTGGCGAGATAGAACAGATGCCGGTTTGTGCGCGAGAGTCGTTCATTTACATAGAATCTCCGGGATGGGTAGCCAGGTATGTCAAAACCATCGGTGTCTGCTCCTCTTCGCACTCGCGCCGACCGCAGGAAGTTCTCGCACAATGCGCGCCGTGCAAGGCGCACAGCTAACAATCGCGGGCGAGCGCATTCCCCACCGTGTCCTTCGACTAACTGTCGGGGCGGTCCCACACGCTCTGCACTCACCACATCAGTTTGCTCCAGCTTCATTCCAAGTTTCTCTGCAACCAGACAGGCTAAATGGATAACGTTCTCCCCTTTCACTTCTGGCAGTCCGCCAATTTCCACGTCTGAGGCGAGGAGATCCTGCTCGCGATCATTTAAATCTAGCTTTAACTGTTGCACCGTAGCCATTAAATCACTAACACATTCGGGCGACTCTGACGGCCGCTCCTCCAATTTGGCCATTCTGCTTTCCATTGCATCCATGCGTTTGTTCGCCGCATCTACAGCACCAAGCACTCTCTCGAACTGTTCCCTAAATTGAGACATTTCCACTCGCATCGCCGACATTTCCATTGTAAGAGAGCGAATTCCCTGCACCAGCTCACCATTAATGTCCTTAGGAGACCGCTGAGTAGGCGCAAGCGAGGTCTGAGGGTCATCAGCACTGACATTACTACCGTGTGGCGGGGAGACTTGGTTTTCGAAATTTTCTAACGAACAACTTTTGACCGGGGTTTCGCTGTTACCTGCTTTAGGTGTCATGGAGATACAGTATACATTTCCAGTTTGAAGGAATTATTGTGGTTTTTGTCATTTTAAGACATTGTCGGTCATAAATATTCCTACATCCAGGACACTGAACACGCTCTGCCATAGCCACAAATCTTCCACAAGCCATACATTTACTCATTATATCGTTGATACGAACTATTACACAACAATCACTCGTAACCCCTCGCCGTCGTAGTACCTCGTAGTTGCAGTCGCTACGCTGCCGCTGACGTCACTGTTAAGCCGCTACGCACGAACGCAGGCAAGCGACCGCAAAATTCGCACGATGACTCACAGCTCTCTTGGCTCAGCGGTACAACGCATCGACTTCGATCAAACCGGTGTGTCGGAGGGTGCCGGATCGAATCCACCGGAGTACAACTCACAAAACACTTTCTGTCACTCTCTAGATACACCCACTAGGAGGAGCCCAGCAACCCACAGCACACAAGAGGAACAAGGAATCGAAAATTTAGTCGCTCAACCAATCCCAATTAACGAAATTAAAATATTTAAAATTTAAGTTACGCAGTTTAACACACGTCCTCTCACAACGCCGGCGTCGAGCCCAAAGTTACGTACGGAATTATGTACCAATAGATTGGTACATAATTCCGTTTTCCCTTGTTTCGCATAATACTCATTTGGTCTAATGTTAATTTGATATACATTGCCAGCTAGTAATAGAAACACAGTAAAAACAAAAAAACACAAAAAGACTTAAAACGACCACGCATCAAAACGTCCTCGGTTATTAACTTTTTTATTATAAGTAAACTATAAGTAAATTAAGTATTCCATGGAAGTTGTCCAACCGATGATTTGAAATAAGCAGCAAACGAATCACGTACGTCAAAAGCAGTACTGTTTCCACCAATGTGACGTAGATCACTGAATGCTTCCTGATTAAGTTTTGATGCGCTGACCTGCGACTGGGGCAATACTGTTCGTTGCATTCGATATTATAAGTTCGCATTACATGTTGGCAAAACAACATTATCAACAATTTCTGGACATAAAAGAATATTTTTGTTGAATATTTAAAATTTTTGGCATAATATTCGGAATGCATCTTCGACTACTTTGCGTGCGCATGACAGGCGATTGTTAAATTCTTTTTGGTCCTGAGACGGGTGTTGAGAACGAGAATATGGCCTCATTAAGTTCTTTTCTAATGGAAAAGCCTCATCTCCCACAAAAACATGTGGAAGTGATACGTTTGTCCCGGGCAATGCTTTGTCATTTGGAATATTGAACCTAGTATTTTGAATTCGTTTTCCAATTTTCGAAGATGCAAAAATACCACCGAAATACCACGGTCGCTGTTTTTGCCATAAGCACCGATGTCAACAACTGTAAATCTGTATTTATCAACGACTAGGGCCAAGAGAACTATCGAAAAATGTTTTTTATAGTTGTAGTAGAGCAATCCGCTGTTGGGTGGAGCTATTATATTTATATGCTTGCCATCTATGGCACCAATGCAGTTTGGCAAATTCCACCTGTCATTAAACCCTTCCGCAATTTTTTCCCAATCTTCAGCATATCTTTGGCATAAAAACATCCATCATTTTGTCAATAATAGCTTTGCACACCTCCTTAATTATTTGTTGACCTAATAGTCGTTTTACCTAATCGAAAGCTTGTAGATTTTCTGACTGAAACGCCGCTTGTCAAATATCTGAAATAAAAAAGTTTTTTAAGATTCAACAAACATATAATACTTTTTTTAAGTATCAGTCTGTATAGTTACTATTTCATTTTTTCAGTATCAATGTGAAAGAAAACGTGGACCAATTTAAGGGAAGCTCATCGTCTATTAAGAAAAAAACTACCAAAAGTGGTCAAGCTGTAGGCATTGGTAAAAAATGGCAATACGAGGATGAAATGAGTTTTTTGATACCCTATTATAAAGAAAGAGCAACTGTATCTTCACTACTCATAGATCGTGACCAGGAAAGTACTACTAATGAAGATTCTCAATTGTCTGCTCCGGATTGCCAATCAGATATTTCAATAATAGAAGATCGTCCAACATCTGGCTCGTCTACAAGGACATCCAAGTTTCCAAATATAAAAAGGTCAAGGGTGGAAGTGGAAAATGGATCTACTGCATCGTCATTGTTAATGAAATATATACTAAAGGAAAAAAAAATGAGGAAGATGATACTGACAAATTTTTTTATGGCATAGCTGCAACGGTGAAGAAAGTTAATGAATACAACAAAGCAGTGATCAAATCTGAAATTTTTCATATTGTTTCACAAATGGAACTCCGAGAAATCAATGAAAAAGTAAATAATTACTACAGTAATGCTATCCAGCAACTGCAGGACCTTCTAGAAATTATTCAACTCCAGGATCTTCTGGAAATTGTTCAACTCCAGGATCTTCTGGAAATTATTCAACTCCAGGCTCTACTGGAAATTATTCAACCGTAGGATACAGTACTACACCGAACTATGATACAGAAAGGAATGCCAGACAGATCAACACACCAGTATTGAGACTTTATTGATACTAAAAAATATTTAACGGATTTTTAAAAGTTTTTCTACTCCTACACTTTGAAATTACTCTCTAATTGTTTTAAGAAATTGAATGATTGGTACTTAACGAACAGCAAAATCATGTCGAAGTTACAAAAATAAAGGTTGATTTAGTATGCTCTTACTTTTTTACTTTTACGTACATACATACATTCAGACAGACAGACATACATCCATACATACGATCAAAATTGCGGGAAAAGACTATAACATAACTAGGCGGTCTACAATACCATACTGAAGCGCAGCATAGCAGGTTAGAAAATTTACGAATTTATTCAATTTTCTTTGGAATGACAAAGTGTTTAAGTACAGTATTTATTACAAATTCATCACGGTTTTCAATGGGGAGTGAAATTTTGTTCATGTCCAAGTTGCGCTGTTTGCAAACTGAATTTGTCAAAAAATTTAATTTCAATAACATATCCACAATAGGTATACTTATTAATGTGTCGCGAGGTAGTAAACGTAAATGTATAAGTAACTTTACTTACTTTAAAGTCACAGACAATTTCTCTTCGGGTGCGATCGCTTCTCTGAACTTTGTGTTTTTCTTTGTTATAGAGTCTTCAATATGAGACAGGATGTTATAAAACACACATTGCGGCATATGATAGTACGAAAAAATTTTTCCTTCGTCGGCTAACAAATGCCTACGACCGGTCCAATATTCGCCCTCTTTTTTTCTTTGTTTAAACATTTCGTGCACCCAATAAGCTTTCTTTTTTTTTGTTGCGTCTTTCATTTTCATCTTCATCAAGTGCGACAGCTATGAGTGCCAATTCAAGGTTTGTAAAATTTGACATTACGAAACACAAGAGTAGACCTAGTGCCAAAATGTTAACAAACTACTCAAAAATTGTGGACCGCGCGACGTACACTGGTTGACCGCGCGACGTTTTGGCAATAACGCGGCGTCCACCCGTGGATAACCTGTCGACAACGAGTGGACGCCGCGTGGTCAACGAGTGTAGGTACGCCCTACGACGAGGCGGTGCGGGGTGGGTGCGGGGTGGGTGCCGGGTGGCTCTAATGAGCTGTGACCTTTATTATCTAATTGACAACCTAATCTCTCTGGTCATAGAAAAACTTGCTGTACAACCGTCAAAAGTTAGAGAAACAATATAAACCCCATATTCACTTACTATACTCTAGCCAAATTCGATGTAGAATGTTTAATAAGAAAACATTGTTAGGCAACCAATGATGGCATAGGAAAAGAACATTTTTTTCAATGCTTATTACTAAGGCTTGCTCAGTCTACGGCCTGCTCTCATAATTGGAATTGAAATAGGTAAGTTGGTAATTGGGTTATGTACAAGTAATACTTACCTAGCCAATTATTATTTATAGTTTCTCAAATACCTATTGATACATATGATTTAGGAATAAAAATAAGTGTTTGCATTCTATGAATATTTACTGCTAGATAATGGTAGATGAAAAGAAACAAAATTGTAAGATTTTATTTGATATTGTAGGGTGCCTGATTGAAAAAGTATTTCTGGCTTTACTATTTATTATGAACAATTACAGAAAATAGGTATATCATACGTGGTACATAGATTTCCTAGGTAACTGTGAAAACAATACTAAACATCAAAGTGAACTGCAGGGGCTATCTCACTTGTCAGCGTAGGTACCTAATGGGCTTTGGGATGGACTGTCGAGGACTATCGCATCCCTTAGCCGAGCCAACCTGAGGACTGCAGGGGCTATCTCTCAGGCTCGCTTCCGTCGTGCTCGGGCTTATATAGTGGCCACGCGCCACTGCCGTGTGCAAAAATGAAGGAGTGGTTATCGAGCGAGACAGGTAGTCGGTGTGTGAGCGAGAAAGTATTCGAGCTTGCGCGCATCGCGTTACAATATTCATTTACCACATATTATATCATCCAGCGTCTATTTTCGATTCTGATCGAATGTCTCTCACTTCAAATCAAAAAGTCACTAGAGATGACACAGTTTTACAAATAATTAATTAGTGGTCATTTTAATGTCATTTTAGGTGATTTGAACTTCTGTTGAATAATATTCATTATAAATAAGACTTCAAGATTTAGTATTATCTATAATCTAGTTGAATTTCGGGGGAAAATATCGAAATTGTGGTAAATGTGAAAATGTGTGAGATGCAAACCCTAAAAATCATATGTTTTGTTAGTTGATATATATTCTACATCGAATTTGGCTAGAATATAGGTCTATTCATGTTTTGACCTCTAACGCCGATTATACAAGAAAATATCTCTAGTATAATATTTTCTCAAATATTTTAAAAATACCGGTAATAGTGAAATGGGAGTAGGAGCTGAGACATTTTTTGTCACTTTCTTTTGTTAAGTGTATTTATTAATGATAACTTCAACTCGTCAGGAAATATACCTTCTTGTATTCAAATAATAAAATAAATAATAATAAAATTGTTTATTTAGTAACATAATG